TACGTAGCATTGTAGCTCATAGCTGCTACTGGAACCGCGACTGAAATTGATCTTAAGCTTAGTGAACATTATAATATTCTTACCTTACACATAGCCATGTGTACTGTATACCATGCAATGTGTATGTATTGCGTTACGCGCTTGTTTCACAAGTTTCACCGCCTTCGGCGGTCGCGCGCTACTGCAAGCGAAATTAGGGCTCTGGTTAGAGCAATTCTAACCTTCACATTTTGAACATTCACATAGTGAACTACTCATACATTTTTCATAAGTTAAATTCTAATTTTTTCTAATTGACTTTTTCACCATTTTTCTTTTACATGCACGCGGCTGGCCGGCCGCGCGATCAAAAGGGGTTACACCCGTTACAGCGAGTGTCAAATGATTGGGTATTAGAGTGGACTGCTACCAGTGTCTCTCTTTCCCAAACAAAAATAAATGATATTAATTTGAATGACTGTCTGCTAATGCAAAATGATACTGAGACTGAAATCGGTTGCTTGCTTTTCCCATTCATTCACGATGCGACTTACGAATTGTAATAAGTTTCAATTAATTACATCAATCACATGCTGTAAAAATCTTTTTGGGTTGCTTTCGGGTCGATACATAGTATTTTGGGGTAAGGGCGGTATAGTTGATAGTTAGTGTCCAATTAGCTGATGTTTATTGAATCTTTATATATTGCCGAGTACAGCTGCCTTCGGGTAGTTTTTTTTAATCTGTTGCCAGCACTGTGATTATACCGTTTAAGCCAATTTAGCCATTACACATGACATGTGTTGAATTTACACTAGCATGCTAGCATAAGATCAGTGTAAAATTTAAAAAAACATTAACACTGTAAATTTTGTTCTGGTCACTGTCCTTAGAGTAACTATACAATATAAATAGAGCTCTAAATTTCGGGACATCTAAACTTCATTTAGATCATAGTATATGCACCTTCTTTAGCTGCTCAAATCCAATTTGATAAGGATCAAGGAGTTCCACTTGATCCCTCCACTGGTATTTAAGTGATTCTGTCAATTTGCTTCTTAGTAGAGGCTCTTACGGGCAAAAATACGTGTATTCTGCTACGATTTTAGAGACCTAACCGCTAATTAGACACAATAGTATGATGTCTAAGGATCGATAATATGTTAAGAAGTATAAATTTGGCTTTATTAGTCACATGCTATACCAATGCGCGTTTTAAACTTTGGCAGTCTATTACTCTAAGGCAAATAGAGTAATCATAATCATATTTTGTCAGCAATAAGATCACATTATTTTCTATTTGGTGTGAAAATATGAGCTAGAACGGACATAATCTCGCTGAGTTATAGCTGTTTGAAATTTTATGATGAACGCATGGGTGCCAATTGATAACAACTAAATGCTTTTGCGCGTAGTGCGCGTCTGAAATTTGGCAAAAACGCTTGCGGAGTGACAATATTCAAACTTCGATAAAGTATATGAAGTGGGTACTTCTCAGAAAGGAAAAATTTAGGCAAACACGATGTGACTATTTTTGGGTTGATTTAATACAACTGCAAAAAATTATTCAAACTTCAAGCAAAAAAGTCAAAATTTTTACCACTTTTTTGGATTTTTACCTGCGCTAAAATAGAGGGATTTGTTTTATTTTTATACCATCTTGTGCGGCTGTCTTTTAGCTATCTTTGTGCAAATTTTGCCGACATGCCAACAAAATTAACTTGCTCAAAATATCAAAAAACATGGTTTTTTGGCCTTTTTTTGGCCCAAAAATCGGTTTTTTGCGATTTTGACCGCACTAACTCAGTCCAATCATCTTGAAACTACTTTTAATCGATTCTACGGTCAAAAATAAGTCTAGTAAGGTGTATCTGGGGTCCCTAGCGTATCATGCAGACAATGCCCGTAAGAGCCTCTACTATCTGTATGACTTTCCTCTAATGTGATTGATTTTTATTTTCGTTTCAGATTCACGAATAACGTTTGTGTTTGTCGAGGAGTTTTCTTTCACTGTGACTGATTTTTTTAAATGATTGATCAATATTTTTTGAAGAAAATAAAAATATTGAATAAATTACATTCAATTTTAGCAATGGCCAATTGGCTGACTATAAGGTCATGGCCTGAACAAACAATTTTTTTAAATAGTCAATCTAGGTAAACTGTAGGTAAAAATATAATATTAATCATAAGCTAAAATGTACTAATCTTTGAATTCTAAATGGGGAAAAGAAGAAACATTGTCAGTCAGTCGAGAAAATAGTCAGTCAGGCTATATGGCAGCTTTGTAGATGTTGTGACAATGCTAGTAGTGGTCCCAAGTGATGCTAAAGCAGAGCACAAATGTGTAATAAGTTAATAGATTAAAAACTGATTCATGTGATGCATTACGCAGAGCACAGATAAAAATACTGATTCAATGACTGATTTGACTGTTAAAATATTCTTTTGTCACAAAAAAAGTCCATCATAACTGAAGATACAGCCGATTAAATGTGACTTGCACTGAACACAACGTAATAACAACAAAACCAATCAAAATGCTGATCCAATATTCATTGCACAATGCACATGTACATACGCATTTTCACCAGCATTACTATGCAATTACTGATTAGCAGGTGGGCGCGGGGCGGACATACAATGTACATTGTACAGAACATACACATTTTAATTTTGATTTGTAATATGCTTCTCTAAAAATGTTCATCTCACTGTTTGATTATTTGTTAGATTGTGTTTACAGTCGAAATTGTCTTATTGCATACACATTTTATTACTACTTATATTGCACTCGTAAGAGACCTAAGTTTGAGTTTCTGATTAATACATTATTGCAGCATCATGGAGAAGGGACTAATTGTGATAAAGATAAAAGAAGGTGACCCATTGCATGTTGAAAAAGAAAGATTAACAAAGAACAGTAAATTCCTGCGACATCTCATTGATGAGCTTCATTTTTATGAAATTGAAATGGACGACTTTGACCCCGATGTGGTAGCACTGTTTCTAACTCATCTCCAGGATAACCAAGTAAACGAACTTCAAGAATCACAGTTCAGGGAGTTACATAAGATGGCAGTTGTCTTTGAGGCTGAGTGTCTTAAAGAAGGTTGTCGAAGCTGGCTTTTTTCCAGACTCGACAGTAAAGAAAAGCAACACAGCTTTCAGGAAATATTGTTTGCGTTTGAGGAGTGTCTTTATGTCTTTCGAAAATGGGAAGACAAAGAAAAGGGTATGATAGAAACAATGATTTCGAAATTGATCGTGAAGGATGTAAGCGAGTTTGTATCTTGGTATCTTAAGGAAGGATTGGAAAATCTTGTAAAGGGAGGCAATAAGCTGGATACTGTACAATTAGATTTATTGCTGAAGATAAGTGGAAGTAACCAAATGGTTTTTGTGAACTCAATGTTATACAATATTGTCTTCCAAGAATCCCTTGATGATAACATGAAGTTTTTGCTAAAAAACCTTGATCTAAAAATTTGTAGGTCTCAACATCAGTTCCACATCGATCAGCTGTTTGAATGCCTATTTAGCTTGAAAGAACTGAAGCCAGAAGATCATAGCTTCATATTGAAACTTTATAAGGAAACGGCTGAGTCAAACGTGGTTTTTGATGGATGGAAATACGCTCAACTTATGTTATACTGCAGCCAATTAGATAGCATAATAAATGGAATCATCAATGGTAGAGTCATATCAATGTTTGATGTAGTGGATTTCTTAGACTTACACTATAGCCGTCTTCCAGTCCAAGAAACCGAAGAAAAAAGCTTCCTAGCTGCACTAAGGAACGGTTGCAGGAATAATCACATACAGAAAGTGTGTCCTCAATATGTGGACATGATATTGACCGGTTTGACCCATTCAACTGATCATCGTCATTTTTCTAGATTTAGGGATTATAAGTTGCCAAATTTTATTAACATCCTGAAATGCATCAGGGAAGACGACGATTTATGTTCTTGTAGTGACAACCTTCTTATACCAGAAGAAACATGTGTAGAGGAAGCAACTGGTTCTACTCATAAACATCATTTCTTTTTCAACCATCCGACTGCTCCAGAGTGCGATAAGCCAGGAAGATGTGTATATTGAAGAGTTCCTGTCAGAGTAGAGAATACTATAAGTTTAAGTACAAACTGTGCCGAGCAGATGAGGACTATGAAGGGACTGGTATACATTTCCACAACACTTTCTTAGCACGTGACATGCATTTCTACTTTATACTGTCAGGGACCACACCTGATGGGACCAAGGTCATAGTGTCTAATAGAGAAGGCAAAGGCTTACAGGGAAGGTTTTATTTCAAATCATGGTTTAGCCGTGTTAAGAACTGGGTTATTGAGCAGGTCTATATTCAGTACAACTAAGCTGACTACAACTATAAATAAAATATAGATATTCCAAGTTGCTCTTGATTTTAATTTGATTTTGATTTTGATTTTGATTTGATTTTGATTTGATTTTGATTTGATTTTGATTTGATTTTGATTTGATTTTGATTTGATTTTGATTTGATTTTGATTTTAATTTGATTTGATTTTGATTTTGATTTTGATTTTGACTTGATTTTGATTTGATTTTGATTTGATTTTGATTTGATTTTGATTTTGATTTTGATTTTGATTTTGATTTTGATTTTGATTTTGATTTTGATTTGATTTCGATTTGATTTCGATTTGATTTCGATTTGATTTCGATTTTGAATTTGAATTTATTGTTGTTTTTTATGACTTTTTTGTATCCAATTTTAATTGAATTAAAAATATATAATTATACACTATTTTTGTCTCAGATTTATCTTTTTATGTTTTGAATTTTTGATAAAAATCTTTTTTTATCATGAATACGATGTTTTCACATTGAAACGTTGAATAATTCCTTTCCTGATAAGAGCCTTTTCCTTGTCGCAACAAACGGGATCAATACAAATTTTGTCCAAGAAACATAACAACTGTTTAATTTGTCTCTTACAATTTGTTGTTATTGTGTTATCCCACTATTATCCTAATAGCACTCTAATAGGATGCAGAAATAAGTCCATGACATGAACTGAAGAACTTGTTGTAACAGGAAAGTTCTGTGACAGAAGGGTGACAGTAGAGTGACAGTAGTGTGACAGAAGTGTGATGAGCTATCTGTCCTCAGAGTCTGAAAATGAGTCCCACCTCCTGAATGTGATAGTGTCCTTACAGGCCCAGGAGTTACAGTGTGATGTCAACAGGACCAAGAACAAGAACATCAGCGAGTTCCAACAGATAGACGCTAAAATTAATGAGCAGTTAACTGGTAAGAATTAGCTGATCGAGGTGATTTAAGTTGGGAATTTCTTTATAATTATCATCAGAGCCAGTATAGATAACGTTGAACTCACATATTTGTGAGTTTTCTTCTTTTACTGCAATATCTCAATATCAGGAATTAAAGTTGTTTCTTCAGATAATCACAATGCACTGAAGCAGATTCCTGAGGTTTACTCAAATGTTTTGGACAGAATTAAATGTGAGTAGTAACCCTTGGATTAAAAAAAATCATTCATGACATTAAGTCATAAAGTACAATACCTAACTACCTAATATAATTCAAATACATTAAAGCGGATAAAACTCTATTATAACTGGCAGTGCAAGTTCATCGTAATTGGGAACTAAATTATGTATATTATATACACTGTAATCTGTTCGTTCTTATTTGTGAGAGGATTTTTCAACAAACCACTCATTTTTTCAGTTGCACAGGGAAAGATAAAATCTTGCAAAGAAAAGATAGACAGATGTAAAACGTCGTTACAATGTCAACGCGAAGATCTCAAACGGCTGTATCTCGACAGTGTTACAAACGGGCAGATTCTCGACCTTTTAGCCAGAATGTAAGTCACAGATGACATTGTTGTACAGCATTGTATGCATTGTGAAAATACTTTTGTAAAATATTTAAAAGCTGACAACATTCTTTGACCACGAGTTGTCATATTTTGTGACGTTTGTTATAAGCCCTTCAATGCCTATCGAATAGAATTTGTTATTTGTACGTCAACTGTTAAAACTCCTAGTATCATTTGTAAATTCACCTGTATCCCTCAGAGACAAAGTAAGAGAAGTGTCGGGAGTTTTAGACGCTTACATTAAACACAAGCATTACCAGCATGCTACTAAACTTCTTAAAACTAACGGTAGACCCCCTATAATGTTATAATATTTTGATGTAGTTTCACCGCCTACTCAAGACCTTGACGTATTGTCAATTATTGACGGTTGTCGTTCGGTGAATTTAAAATTGCTTCATTATGTTTCGACGAACAATTATTACTATACTGTCATTTTGAGCTGTGGTCATAAACAGCAGAATTTTCTATGGTGCTGTGCGTAACGCGCTCAGTCTCAGAGATAGTCACGCGCGTTTATTTTGTGGAAGTTGTAGAATCAACAAATCAAGCAATTTGCAAGATCAGATCGATCGACGAGATTTGCGGCCATCTCTGGTAATATAAAGTTGTATGGCTTTTAAAATGCCGTACACAGAATTAAATGCCTCACCAAGTCGTTAACAAAGAAAATGATAATATTTCAGTGGCTCTACTGGAAGGAAATTTGTCAAGCGTCGACGCCCTAAAAGATATCAAAGATGAGCTGAAGAAGAGGAAAGATGTGAGCTTCGTAGAATTGTCACCATTCTTTATCGATATTAACTTATTTGTATGCATCACGCAGATTCATTTCCAGCATCTCAACCGCAAAAACATATTTCAGACGTTACACTTGGAACTGATACAACAACTACAAAACCACCTTTATCTTAAAGCTCCGTCGGCTAAAGAGAAAGTGCAGCTATTCAGAAGCGGTACATAAGAACTATTAAGATTTATTTAGAGATATATCTTTAGAGATAATCATAAATTCTCCTAATTGCACCCTGGTGATAAATGAGTATTCGCCATGTTTAGATACTAAAACTCCAGGCGAGCCCCCGGAAATGGATAACGAGGAGGAGTACGAGGACGAGGAGGAGGATTTGACAAAAGATCCCGAGGAAGACACGTACAAGTTCCTGAAGTTACTAATCCAGAGTCTCCAACAACTTGACAGACTTGACGAAACTGAGGAGGTGAATAATTCTAAACGATTATAATTCCAATTATTACAACTGTTATAATTAGACCTTCGATAATGTTAGTTTCAGTCAGCAATATATCATGTAAGTGAAATTATAATCCCACACCGCCGAGTTTTGTAAGTTTTATCGTAATTTAACGTTGAGGAATATCACCCTAGGTTTTAGAGAAGAACATGGAGTCAGAACTGCGGAGTATTCTCAACAACACGGCACAGGACCTCCTGTACAAGAAGAGGCTGACTAATCAGATAGACAACCAGCCTACCCTGTTCCCGGAGCTCCTGGAGGAATGTTTTGCAAAGTACAGGGCTGTTGCTGCTTCGCATCACGTGGTAAGTAGAATTTATTTGGTATTGTTTTACAAGATAATTAGTATTTCACCGATACTTTGTTAATAAGTTAGGCAGTTGAAAGAAACAAATTTGTCAAAAGATTGTACGAAAAATGTAAGATCACGTGAAATAAATAGAGATCTAAAACTTGAAGATCATTAAAAACAGCAAATCAAAAGTAAAATTATTCCATTTTAGTTTAACATGGAGAATGTTAAGAATGTCTATCACTTTCGTCGCTTCATCGGTGTTACACAGTCGTCTGCTGAATTCCTCCCGTATCATCCTTTGAATTTGCTTCGACCGCTGGCTCTTCTCTGCCTGTTAGAATTTTGATGCCATAAGTACTACAAACAAATCATAGTATTGTAAAATACTAAATAATCGATTGGAAGCTTTAAAGTTTAAACGCCTATCCTCCAAAGACAATTTATTTACATTACCAATGTACTATTTACATTACCTTGGTACAACATACTGTTGACTGAGCTTCTAATCATCTGTATCCGGTACCAAAGAAAGCGTCTAAAACTTGGAATAGTCAGCAAGTAGATGTAGAAGTTGCAGAGGGTGTTCAGAAAAATGAAAGATGCGACTATTCGACTGAACTGGTTTTCAAAATATCCGTGAGGATCCATTACAAAAGCCGCTTTAGTCTTGCGTATGAAGGTGTATGCTGCATATGGTAATATTGAGATGCAGTAGATGGTAACGGTGAAAACACTGTCACAATCCCTCGCCATCTTTGAGTTTTACCGCTGTTCTTTGCAGCTCGCTTAGCTCTCAGCAAGTACATCAACAGCGGAACTATCGTGGCTATCACAATCAAGTTTGGAACTGTAATAATCAAAACGACAATCACCGGTCTTAGCCACTTCCAAAACTCAGCATGCCATCCGTACTTGCAGGCGTACAACCTGTAGTCAAATATGATCTCCCCGTTGATAGCCGAGAGGACCATGAGGGGTGTGAATATTGTCAGGACTGTGACCCATATCCCCGTGCAGATTTTATGACCTGCGCCGGTCATCAGCGTTCTGGAACGAATAGGAAACTTCAATATTACAAGCTTACTAGTGCTCAGCGTACAAATCAGGAGCAAAGCTACTGCGTTGAAATAGTACATGGAATAGGCCATCACATGGCACAACACATTTCCAAATATCCAGCCATCTGCTAAAAGTGCTAGCACCTTTGGTAGCACGGCAGTGACGCTAACTATCAGATCACAAACAGCTATATGCTGGATAATGGTTACGATGAACTTGTGGAGTTTCAGAGCGTTATATTTGACGGTTGCCAGAAGAACAATCGAATTCCCAATGAGGGATGAAACCATAACACAGATATGATACGCTGTCCATATGTATCTCAGTCCATCGCTCTTAATGCCATAGTTGGTTCCGTTAGAGAAAACAGTAAGAGAACTTGGAGTCATTGGAGGAGTTAAATCTGAAGGCACTTGTTATAATGTTACACAACGGGAGAGGTGAACGGGTGCTTTCTGGGAATGATATAAAACAAAGCTTTAAAGCTCTTAAAAATATAAAAAAGCTTTTAAGAATTTTCGAATTTTCTTAAAATAGCACATCGTCATGTTAATAGTCTTTAAAGAAAACTGGTATGATACGTCAAACAATCAAACCACGGTTATAAATGATCTCAATTAGAGGGGTCTCAGTAATAATTCTCTGACCCGGAGTCTACAGGGAAAGAAGCAAAATGTATATTGTACACGATATAATATATACATATATTTTATTGTGTACAATATACATCTATATAATATATAATATGTACTAGAGACATGGCTTGTAGAGCAAGGGGAGGATCAGACTAAATTAGTCTATAATAACGCTGTATTCAGAACTATTTACTTAGCTCATTTACACAGTGTAATTATTTTACATATATTATATAATGCTAGAAAGCCCGTGGTCACAGGGAGGAAGCTAATTGTATTCTTTGATAGTCAGTTTTCATCGCATCAAAAAATATCCATCACAACCGAAGATACAGCCCATTAAGGGGGCATACCCCAAAACAGTGGTTTGTGCCGTCCAGACCAAATGACCTCATAGGCAGTTCAGTGACCTTCTAGCGCACCGTTTCCACACAAAAAAAATTATTTTGAGAATTCCCATTTTTGTAATCGACCATTTCCTGGTTAAGAGTGCAATTTTCGGAAAAAATAATTTTTGGTTGAGACGCTATAAGTTAATCATTTCTTGCGGTATCGGGTTGAAATTTTGCTCGCCGTTTATTCACATCTATGTCAAGGTGTGTGTAAAATCTTGATATCGTATCTAAAAAGGCTGGTGTGTTATGAATTTTAAAAGTCAAAAAGCTAAAATTGTCCTTTTCAGGCTTATTTTAACAATAAGTCAGTCAGGGAAGATCGGATTATTTGATGCTTGACATCAAATTGTTCTCTGAATTCTGGCACAGTTTTTGATGCCCTCAAAAATGTTTTTACTCATGATTTTTTGGCTTTGCAGATAAAAAATCACATTTTCTCCCATAACTTCAAAGGGAAGCATTTTAGGGTGTTTTGTTGTTCATAACTCATATATAAATGTGCTAGTTGCGGTTATTTTGCACCCTTCAAAAAGTCACTAGCACATTCCTATCAAAATTTTAGAAAAATCAGTAAATATTAAAAACGAAAATGTGCCTAAATTTGTTGTTTGGCTTTGAGGTCCAATAGATTAGAAGGTGAATGAGTAAAAACATTTTTGAGGGCATCAAAAACTGTGCCAGAATTCAGAGAACAATTTGATGTCAAGTATCAAATAATCCGATCTTCCCTGACTGACTTATTGTTAAAATAAGCCTGAAAAGGACAATTTTAGCTTTTTGACTTTTAAAATTCATAACACACCAGCCTTTTTAGATACGATATCAAGATTTTACACACACCTTGACATAGATGTGAATGAACGGCGAGCAAAATTTCAACCCGATACCGCAAGAAATGATTAACTGAAAAGGACAATTTTAGCTTTTTGACTTTAAAAATTCATAACACACCAGCCTTTTTAGATACGATATCAAGATTTTACACACACCTTGACATAGATGTGAATAAACGGCGAGCAAAATTTCAACCCGATACCGCAAGAAATGATTAACTTATAGCGTCTCAACCACAAAATAATTTTTTCCGAAAATTGCACTCTTAACCAGGAAATGCTCGATTACAAAAATGGGTATTCTCAAAATATTTTTTTTTGTGTGGAAACGGTGCGCTAGAAGGTCACTGAACTGCTTATGAGGTCATTAGGTCTGGACAGATTGGGGTATGCCCCCTTAAAATGTTACTCGCACTAAACACTACGAAATAACAATAAAACGATCATAATCTCATGCCAATATTCATTGCAGGTGCACGTTCGCATTTCCATCCCCGGCCCGTTGCTATGCAACTTTATAATTTGCACGTGGGCGGTCGTACGTACGTACAAAGAGAAACTATCGAATTATAAGGTAGACATATATTTATTATATACTCTAAATAATTAGAGAACATAATATTATAATCAATAAACTTAGCGAAGCTATAATCAATATAATTAGGAAGCATAGTATTATTATTGTTTTGGTAAACAAGGTCTTACAGACAGAAATTATTAATAAACTAATACTTAAATGTTGTAATTTGTACTTGCGCAAAATATGGTCCAAATTTGTTAGAAGAGTGGCACAAAAGCGTGATCCTATCCGTATTGCATTATATATCTCGCTATCGTTTACAAACAAAACAGTTTGATGTACTCTCTATGGGGGGAGGAGCACATACGTAATAGTCGAAATTGCAACAATTTTGTGTGAAAAGTACTACTTTCTCTCCTGTCCCCAATGTAACAGATAGAGCAAACAATAAATTGGAAAGTAACATCTGTTTCCTTAGGTAGCTCTCTTCATTGTATTTATTGTAAGCTACTCAACATTAAGTTCAATAGGTCCACTGACACAAAGATTCAAGTAAATCAATAATTGATTCAGCCACCTTTCTGTGAAAAAGTAAGATGAGCTTTCCTAAAAACATTTAAATTTAGGCCTGATTTTTATTATAACATCTAATGATTATTTTCAGGTGATAAACGCGATAGAGCACCTGAGGTTCAGCAGTCAAGCAAACCGATATTCCAACAGCAGAGTCTGGAGCAACATTCAGACATGTGTAAGTAACACTGAGCAACATTCAGACCTGTGTAAGTAACACCGAGCAACATTAAGACCTGTGTAAGTAACACCGAGCAACATTCAGACCTGTGTAAGTAACACCGAGCAACATTCAGACCTGTGTAAGTAACACCGAGCAACATTCAGACCTGTGTAAGTAACACCGAGCAACATTCAGACCTGTGTAATTAAAACCGAGCAACATGACATTCAGACCTGTGTAAGTAACAACGTGCAACATTAAGACCTATGTAAGTGACACCGAGCAACATTCAGACCTGTGTAAGTAACACCGAGCAACATTCAGACCTGTGTAAGTAACACCGAGCAACATTCAGACCTGTGTAAGTAACACCGAGCAACATTCAGACTTGTGTAAGTAACACCGAGCAACATTCAGACCTGTGTAAGTAACACCGAGCAACATTCAAACCTGTGTAAGTAACACCGAGCAACATTCAGACCTGTGTAAGTAACACCGAGCAACATTCAGACCTGTGTCAGTAACACCGAGCAACATTCAGACCTGTGTAAGTAACACCGAGCAACATTCAGACCTGTGTAAGTAACACCGAGCAACATTCAGACCTGTGTAAGTAACACCGAGCAACATTCAGACCTGTGTAAGTAACACCGAGCAACATTCAAACCTGTGTGAGTAACACCGAGCAACATTCAAACCTGTGTAAGTAACACCGAGCAACATTCAAACCTGTGTAAGTAACACCGAGCAACATTCAGACCTGTGTAAGTGACACCGAGCAACATTCAGACCTGTGTAAGTAACACCGAGCAACATTCAGACTTGTGTAAGTAACACCGAGCAACATTCAGACCTGTGTAAGTAACACCGAGCAACATTCAAACCTGTGTAAGTAACACCGAGCAACATTCAAACCTGTGTAAGTAACACCGAGCAACATTCAGACCTGTGTAAGTGACACCGAGCAACATTCAGACCTGTGTAAGTAACACCGAGCAACATTCAGACCTGTGTAAGTAACACCGAGCAACATTCAGACCTGTGTAAGTAACACCGAGCAACATTCAAACCTGTGTAAGTAACACCGAGCAACATTCAAACCTGTGTAAGTAACACCGAGCAACATTCAGACCTGTGTAAGTGACACCGAGCAACATTCAGACCTGTGTAAGTAACACCGAGCAACATTCAGACCTGTGTAAGTAACACCGAGCAACATTCAGACCTGTGTAAGTAACACCGAGCAACATTCAAACCTGTGTAAGTAACACCGAGCAACATTCAAACCTGTGTAAGTAACACCGAGCAACATTCAAACCTGTGTAAGTAACACCGAGCAACATTCAGACCTGTGTAAGTAACACCGAGCAACATTCAGACTTGTGTAAGTAACACCGAGCAACATTCAGACCTGTGTAAGTTACACCGAGCAACATTCAGACCTGTGTAAGTAACACCGAGCAACATTCAGACCTGTGTAAGTAACACCGAGCAACATTCAGACCTTCTTCAGTTACAACATTCATATTTTGTCTTTAACCTACGAACTGTTCAAATAAATTTGAAACCGCTAAACGTCCTAAACTGCGAGTTAGCCTCATTGAAGTTGCATTTGTCTGACACATCTGCTATCTTATTATTGCTGGTACAACTACGGAATTAGCCAGTCATTTCGGGTGAAATATGATACTGAGTTAGTTAAACTTGTAACAATACCACCATCTATTTCAATTATAATAGTGGCTGTCATTTAATTCGCTTTTTCTTGAGCCGGAAATTAACGATCTACAGTCTCGAGAATTCTGCTACGAATCGAGAAGATGAAAAAGCCAGTCCCGCATGAAACAAACATCGCACAAAATGAACAATCACAAACCACCGTAGCTCTACTAAGTACATACTTGCTTAACAATACATCTCCCTCACAGCACCGTGACTGGTCACGAGATGTGACGTCACACCGCGTGTCATGACGTCACAACACGTGCCATGACGTCACACCACGTGTCATGACGTCACACCACGTGTCATGACGTCACACCGCGTGTCATGACGTCACACCACGAGTCATGACGTCACACCACGTGCCATGACGTCACACCACGTGTCATGACGTCACACCACGTGTCATAACATCACACTACGTGTCATGACGTCACACCACGTGTCATGACGTCACACCACGTGTCATGACGTCACACCACGTGTCATGACGTCACACCACGTGTCATAACATCACACTACGTGTCATGACGTCACACCACGTGTCATGACGTCACACCACGTGTCATGACGTCACACCACGTGTCACCCCACAGGTAGAGTACCTGCTGAGAGACTACCTAGCTGTAGACGAGGATGTGACAGCCCAGACTCTCACCTCAGCCCCTATCTCCTACGTGGCTGCTAAGAACGACATGTCCGTCTTCTTCGCACGGAGTGGTCGGAGACCTGAGAAAGTACAGCCTAGTCTCTTCTCATTCGAGTCAAGTGCTACAGGTAGGTGTTTCCACGTGGTTCACATCTAATTATCTATTGATTACTTTCTGCCTTGTTACTTGTACAGCTGTACTAGCCACGTGGTCTTTACATTTATGATTTATTAGAATAACGACAGTGGTAACAACTATTGGTGCCTGGTAACAACTGGTAAATAGTAACCACTGGTAACTGGTAACTGGTAACTTGTAACTGATAACTTGAAACTGATAACTTGTAACTGATAACTGGTAACTGGTAACTGGTAACTGGTAACTGGTAACTGGTAACTGGTAACTGGTAACTGGTAACTGGTAACTGGTAACTTGTAACTGGTAATTGGTAACTGGTAACTGGTAACTGGTAACTGGTAAATACTAACCGGTAACTGGTAACTGGTAACTGATAACTGGTAACTGGTAACTGGTAACTGGTAACTGGTAACTTGTAACTGGTAACTGGTAACTGGTAACTGGTAACTGGTAACTTGTAAATACTAACCGGTAACTGGTAACTGGTAACTGGTAACTGGTAACTGGTAACTGGTAACTGGTAACTGGTAACTGGTAACTGGTAACTGGTAACTGGTAACTGGTAACCACTGCAGGTTTAACAAGGTCGTCTGAGTGCAGGACACAGCAGTATAACAGTGATACAGCCGCCACAGCCTACGAACTACCAGCTCTATGTCAGAAGGTGTTGATCGCAATTTTCAACAGATTCAAATCGTATCACTTTAGTAACGCAATTAGATAGTTTGGTTATAACTTATAAATAAATGTATCAGATATTCTGTGTGTGTAATTCTGCAATACATCTGGATTCTGGAATGTCTGGGAACTCCCTGTGAAACATTGTCTTGAACCTTCTTTGTTATACAGATTAGCCTGTCTTTTGTCTAACTGAAGAGAATTCTTCAAACTTTGCCAATCAAACCGCAATATTCGTCAAATTTGCAGCACTCTTGCTGCACCTAAAGCAAATTTAGGCAGTTGCGGAGTCGTAGTATTTGTTGTCTCTGCATATTATGTGATGATTATGTGTAACATGTGTTGTTTCAGAGTCCTCACAATATCACTCTGGTCTTCAAACAGATCACCAACTTTATCAGGGAGATCAACAACGTTATCAACATGACCGGAACGTTAGTTGCGATTGTTATCTTATTTAGACTTAAATTTAAAGTTATAATCCATCAACATTAAAGTGGTCGACGGTGAATAAATTTTCTTAAAATTCCTCATATTTCAGTCAGCTTATTCCACTGCAGCACTTCCTGAACGAGTTTGTGGATAACAAGTTCCTGCCTACCCTTCAGGGGAAGGTTAAGAAGCACATTGCTGAGGCAACTGAGGGTTCGTTATTTCTCCCATCAATCCTGAAACTGTCACTTTTATAATATCAGCTTTGTTAATTGTGACGTCACACCACGTGTCGTTGAAATGTTGAAATGATCCTCTAATCGAAATTAAAGTTTCGCTTAGTTTGAATTATGTTTTTTTCAGTGTATTATTTATTTGGTTGAATTAATCATAACTTGAGCGAGTTAGAATGAAGGTAATTAAGTATTGTAACTGACGTTTTGCTAACCGTGGCCAGGTAATTCAGGTTTGAACATGGTTAAGTTACCCTCCACCAAGATAGGCTGGCCCCGTCCTCTTCTTCAGGTCAGTCTCCCTCTCTACTTAACATTTCTGGAGCTCATTTCAATTAATGTACGGTATCTGCCGGTTACTGATCATTGTTAGTTTTAAACAATACATTGGTTTATCTTTTCGTTTTATATCGATAATTATGTGTCGTAAATGTCACTACAAAAGGATATTTTGTAGAATTATGACAACAAATTTTCAAATCAAAACAATTTCTCGCATTCGCGTATACATTCTATTGCGCACATAAAACTGATGAATGATGAACCTGCAGTTACCGCCGTTACCGATCTACTGGTAACATGTCTGGTAACATGCCTGGTAACATGCCTGGTAACATGCCTGGTAACATGCCTGATAACATGCCTGGTAACATGCCTGGTAACATGCCTGATAACATGCCTGGTAACATGTCTGGTAACATGCCTGGTAACATGCCTGGTAACATGCCTGATAACATGCCTGGTAACATGCCTGGTAACATGTCTGGTAACATGCCTGGTAACATGCCTGGTAACATGCCTGGTAACATGCCTGGTAACATGTCTGGTATCATGCCTGGTAACATGCCTGGTAACATGTCTGGTAACATGTCTGGTATCATGCCTGGTAACATGCCTGATAACATGCCTGATAACATGCCTGATAACATGCCTGGTAACATGTCTGGTAACATGCCTGGTAACATGCCTGGTAACATGTCTGGTATCATGCCTGGTAACATGCCTGGTAACATGTCTGGTAACATGTCTGGTAACATGCCTGGTAACATGCCTGGTAACATGCCTGATAACATGCCTGATAACATGCCTGGTAACATGTCTGGTAACATGCCTGGTAACATGCCTGGTAACATGCCTGGTAACATGTCTGGTAACATGCCTGGTAACATGCCTGGTAACATGCCTGGTAACATGCCTGGTAACATGCCTGGTAACTGACCTAACTTCATGTCAGGGTACACTGAAGGTGCAGGAGGAGCTAGCAGAGCTAAGATCCCTAATGAACAGGATGCCTAAGTATTGTAACAAGTTCCTGGATATTATCTACGAGGTCCTCAAGTCTTACAAGAAGATTTGTCACAACACTTTCAGCAGTGGGTTAAACTTCCAATTTCAGTCTTATTCCATTAGTTCTATTCCATTAAACTTTTGAATGTCCCCCTTTTCAGTTTTACCATACATAAGTTTTACGATGATTTGAAACTTTTATGGTCATTCAAATTTATATCTCCACCCGTAGTTAGAAAAACTAACCTACTCTATTAATGTACTTTGTGTTTGTTCTGTAAAGAATATTTTCTACCAGACATTGTTGGGATTAACGTGATCGGAGCTAATCAGACTGTTTGCCACATTTGGTTCAAGGACGAAAAACTGAAACAAATTATCAAGTACGCTTTAGAGTAAATTCAGATTGTTGCAGTAATTTTTATTAACTGTTATGTTAGAAATTTAAGATGATCACAAGAGAAAGAAATTCAAGTAACCCCCATTTTAAGCAGCTCATGTTTCAGTGCTAACCCCATATTCCTCACAGAGAGCTGCCAGCTTGGCCAGAGGTATTTAACAAAGGAGGGCTAACTGAACAGACGTCCACACACGCACAACTTGTTACTGCTATCAGTATCCATCTCGGTAGGAATGTTATCATTTAGTTACCATTTGTTATCTTCTTGTAATTATCAAATAGCTGTATTGTTTCCTTGCTATTGTAACATATTGAGATATCTGGTGATAAATTTAGTTAGATAGGGTAATCATCCATCAAACATTCATTTAATTATTATTAAATTAGATAATTAGATAATCATTAAATTAGACAAGCCAACCATTAATTACCTCACTTATTTCAGTTACACTCCACCCTCCCTGTCATACATCATGTCACATTATCTGTAACATAGCTTCACACATGTCACACTCTGTTGATGAGATGTGCGTTGTTTCACCTCGCTCTAACGTGACGTCACCATTCTCTAACGTGACGTCACCTCGTTCTCAAATCACGTCACCTCGTTCTCAAATCACGTCACCGCGAAGTGAGATCTCTTCATCAAGCAGTGAACTGACGGACAGTTCAAGTTTATTACAGCAAAATCTTTACAAAAAACTTCCAACGAAACACACAACGTACGAAATAGAAATGGGAGAAATGCAAAATTCAAACGACTACAAGATTGTAAAACAAATTACATATGGTGAAGACTCTGACGTCACCTCGACAGAAACGTCGCGTGATAACTCATGTAACGATGATTCACAACTCTCCTCATCATCATTCACCTCTTACTCATCTTGTGAGACGCCCTTCACTTTCCATTTCATCGGGTCAACTCATTAAATTGAGGATAGCTTTAAAATTATTTGTTTCTTCAGTTTATGCCACACCCGATTTAATCTAATCGAGATCACGTGATCAGGGTATTTAATCAACTTAAAAGTAAAACTCTACTCAGCCTGCATTAAACACAGGTAAAGATATTCTAGACAAAGATGCTATGATAGCGGACAGTGAACGGTTAATACAGCTAGCTCAGCTACAAGACAGTATTAACTGGCTTATTCAATACGTTGACAACTTTGCTGAAAACCTCCAATGTGATAAAGAGGTAACTAAGTAATTTTAGTATGTGTTAATTTGATATCGCCGCCCTAACACTACTTGTGTACATTGCTAGAATACCTAAGCAGTGAGCTACAATAGAGAGACCGGGCTAAATTTAAAATGCAGGGCCAAGTTTCAGAAAAATAACCTCCTATCCTCCTCTAACAATTTCCCTACTTCTTATATTATTCTCTCCCATTTCCAAAGTTTACTCTAATTAACCTCTCATAATATACATAATTAACCTCTCATAATATCAGCTACAAGATCAGTTAACGGGAAGTAACATGAAGCTGTTGGAGGACTGCAGGAACTTGTTAAACGAGCGGATGAACGAACTGCTGCAGTTAGCAGAAGACTGCCTGATGATCCTTTACTTGGAGATCAGGGTTCAGTGTTACTACCATCTCCTCATCGTACTAAGAAAGGTTTATATTAGCTACTTTTGTACACACTTTCTGTTGTAGTGCTATTTATTTCCAGGTTATTACCCTTCTCCAAATTACTGCGGTGGGTATGGATTTCAAGATTGCCTTCAGCTGTTCTACCGCCACGAGGAGAAGTTACCCAGTGGCCTCTTTTATAGCTGCTTTTCAATGATTTTCTCTACTTTAGGTTGATGACACGTACCCCACGTGCAATTACTCCCCGCAGATTGCAGCAATTATCTGCCGATCTGAAAGCACGTACACAGTTATTTAATGCTATTGCTAAGTTAAAGTTTTACTGATTATTTGGAATAAAATAACTGTAGCTGTTGTCATACGACAAGTAGAGATTCACTAATTCCCTCATACATATGGTTTAGACCACCACCTCTGGAGTGGAAACAAGTACTACCTAGTGCCTTCAGATAACAGACCTTAGTACTAGTACTACCTACTAAGCTACTACCTACTAGTGCATACAGATAACAGACCTTAGTACTAGTACTACCTACATACCTAGTGCCTACATACCTAGTGCCTACATACCTAGTGCCTACAGACCTAGTGCCTACAGACCTAGTGCCTACAGACCTAGTGCCTACAGACCTAGTGCCTACAGACCTAGTGCCTACAGACCTAGTGCCTACAGACCTAGTGCCTACAGACCTAGTGCCTACAGACCTAGTGCCTACAGACCTAGTGCCTACAGACCTAGTGCCTACAGACCTAGTGCCTACAGACCTAGTGCCTACAGACCTAGTGCCTACAGACCTAGTGCCTACAGACCTAGTGCCTACAGACCTAGTGCCTACAGACCTAGTGCCTACAGACCTAGTGCCTACAGACCTAGTGGCTAGTGCCTACAGACCTAGTGCCTACAGACCTAGTGCCTACAGACCTAGTGCCTACAGACCTAGTGCCTACAGACCTAGTGCCTACAGACCTAGTGCCTACAGACCTAGAGCCTACAGACCTAGTGCCTACAGACCTAGTGCCTACAGACCTAGTGCCTACAGACCTAGTGCCTACAGACCTAGTGCCTACAGACCTAGTGCCTACAGACCTAGTGCCTACAGACCTAGTGCCTACAGACCTAGTGCCTACAGACCTAGTGCCTACAGACCTAGTGGCTAGTGCCTACAGACCTAGTGCCTACAGACCTAGTGCCTACAGACCTAGTGCCTACAGACCTAGTGCCTACAGACCTAGTGCCTACAGACCTAGTGCCTACAGACCTAGAGCCTACAGACCTAGTGCCTACAGACCTAGTGCCTACAGACCTAGTGCCTACAGACCTAGTGCCTACAGACCTAGTGCCTACAGACCTAGTGCCTACAGACCTAGTGCCTACAGACCTAGTGCCTACAGACCTAGTGCCTACAGACCTAGTGCCTACAGACCTAGTGCCTACAGACCTAGTGCCTACAGACCTAGTGCCTACAGACCTAGTGCCTACAGACCTAGTGCCTACAGACCTAGTGCCTACAGATAACAGACCTTATTGGATTCTGAAAGAAAGAGCTTGATATTCGTGATATCCGGAAAGCTTTTGGCTGCTTGATCTAAATTCTATATGAAATGACGACAAAGGGCATACTTACACATATTTTTATATAAATTTCGATGTCAAAATTGTTGTGATCAATTTTTTTCTCAGCTAATGAGTAAATAAATGAATTTTTACATTTTAAAAAGTTTGATGAAATTGAAGCAAAGTTCATATTTGAGTTTATCTATAAAGTTAACAGTTTAGTGACTAGGAGCAGACAATTAAGGTACGATTGCCGAGGTCTTGTCGACGTAAGTCCATTCTTAAGTGTTGGGTACGTAACAGTCTGTCGCTGGGCTATGACCCATTAATAGCACCGTTTTACTCTTCTGGAAAACTCGCCTTTACAATCCTCACCAAATCATCCTGCTCCTCAGGAACTAGCCTCACAGGATCATTAAATACCTGACCATCATAAGTGAGACTATACGTCATATCATTACTTGTCTTATCTTGTACCCAACTCAGCAGAACCTCTAGGAAGGACAGCATGCATTCTGGTCGCCAGTGGTTTGATCCAGCCCTCTCCAAATCCCTCATCGTGAATATCTGTATTTCTCTGAGGTCTCCCTCTCTTGTTTTACGTCCAACGTAGACTGTGTTTATTCCAATAGGAGCACAGTGAGCCCAGAAATACCTGGATGTAAACCTCTCAAATTTTACACGTTCCCATTCTGTTTCACTTACTACGGCTGTTTTTATATCAACGTAGTTCTCCAAGACATCCTGGTTATCCCCTGGTAATTGACAGTCGATGCTAGAGTTGGTGAGAAGCTTTAGAGGACCTAGTTGGACAAGTCGTGTCATCCTGATATCCACGTCCTCGCACGCATATCCTGGCGTTCTCCTGCCTCCTGTCTTCATCACGTCCTCGAATACTTGACCCCAGTTGCACTGTGTATACGCGTCAGCATCTGTCCAATAACCATAGCGTTCTTCGGCATTCTGAAGGTACAGGGTGTTCTTGTATTTGTATAACTTAACCGTCCACCCTTTTCCTCTATGGTAGGGAGTCTGACATAACATTCTTATCATACTCCTACCAACCACTATGTCAACATCACTCATACTGTAATTCACAGCTTCAGCCCACCTCAACATTTTATCAACAGATGAGCACCTCAGACTCGGCTCAACCGGTATTTCAGTTCGTAAACTCAATGGTAGTTGAGTGGGAGCTTCTAGTTGAGGTATTCTGCACAATTCGGGTATATCGTCACCAGAGTGCACTGACCACACTGTCATGGGCTCCTCTGGGTTCAGGTCGTTGTATCTACCAACTTCTTTAGCACTGAGGTGTCTCGTGTTTGTGCCACGATACTCTCGTATGGGTCGGATCATCAGCTGCTCACTGGCCATATCTACTGGGGGCCCACGTGAATAATGTGAATAATTTGATTAATGTGAATAATGTGAATAATGTGAATAATGTGAATAATGTGAATAATGTGAATAATGTGAATAATGTGAATAATGTGAATAATGTGAATAATGTGAATAATGTGAATAATGTGAATAATGTGAATAATGTGAATAATGTGAATAATGTGAATAATGTGAATAATGTGAATAATGTGAAAGGGAATTTATGTGAAATTTTATATTTTTATGATTAATCTTATCTAGTTAAACTAACATGATGCGATCTGAATGACCTAAGCTGCAACGAACAAAAATCGCATGATAACAAATTCGCGAGATTTCTACCCACTCACGTGAATGAATCAATGAAGTAGAAAAATGTTGGTTCCTAATCCCCTTATCTATACATCACATACATCTCATATGGGCTGTAATTCATAATTCAATCACATACCCAGGATAATTCGAACCCCAGGTTGATAACGTGATGAAAATTTGAAACCATATTTACAAAAGCCAAAAGATCAAAAGGTACGTGGCATGATTTGTGCAACAGATCCAGGGATTAGAAAATACGTCAATTTTTGGCAAAAAATGCGTATTGCATTTTTGACGTATTTAAAAAATACGGATTTAACTACACTGATGCCTGGGGTATGGCAAAGGCTCGACTTTCAGCCCCTGGATCGAGACTCGAGAGCTAATCGATGTATATTATATGGATACTAGGCATATTATGTGAACTCCCCACATTGCGCCAGTGCTGTTTTGGTGGACCCACAAGATTACAATTATGTCGCCTAGCTACCCTAAGCAGATAAGCACTGTTAAAAGTACAAGTGTGCCTACTTTGATTAACATTAAGTGTAATAAAATCACGAATTTGATAATCTCAAAAGTTGAAGAATTCATTATACCTCAGTCTCAACTCTCAAGTATATTTATAGACTAGAGTTTATACACTCTATTCGACATATTATAATCATAGGAGCCTGTTGCCATTAGCAGCATGAAGTGTAGATGTGAGAGAAGGAGGAGGTTTAGTCTATTGTGAGAGAGGGAGGAGGTTGTACTCCAAGTCTTAATTCAAGGGGTCCCACAGCTGTATATTTACCACGAGGGATTGCCTGCTGCCCCGTGAGTACCTCGTTACCTGGTTACCCAGTGGTATGGAGAGTAAAAAATACAATTATTAGTCAGACAGTCATAATGAGAGAACCTAGAAAATTCCTCCCAAAAACAAGCAAGCATCACTTGTCCGGATTCCTTCTAGAAAGAAACGCAAGCTTCAAAAGGACCTTCGTGATGCTGAGAACGACGTTCACTGCCCTAGTACTCGTTTGAAATCTCTTCAAAACAAGCTTGCTTTGACCCACATAGGAATTCGTGATGCTATTAACAAGACCCTTCAGCATCGCGAAGAGCAGGCTGCAGCAAAAGTAAAAGCAAACTCGAAGTACTTTTATAGTTATGCCAAGAAGTTTTCAAAAAAGAAAACGAATATCAGCATGCTGTTCGATAAGAACAGTAACATCAGCTCTCATCCTAAGGAAATGGCAGACCTTTTACAAAACCAGTTTCTATCCGTATTTAGCGACCCCTCCAAAACTGAGTTAGACGCTGCATCATTCCCTCCTCCGGATTTAACATATCCGTTCACGGATCAGATTCTGGAATTCTATATCAGTGATGTTATCGAGGCTATTGATGATATTAATCCAAATGCTTCATCTGGTCCTGATGAGATCCCAGTTGCTCTACTGAAGAATTGCAAAGATGCTATGGCGATTCCTATTCATCTGATCTGGTCAAAATCCCTTGCATCTGGAGAAGTACCTTCATTTTATAAGTACTCCAACGTTTCTCCGCTCCATAAGAAAGATAGCAAGGCATTTCCTTCCAACTACAGGCCAATTTCACCCACCTCCCATATAATCAAGGTGATTGAGAAAATCATAAGGAAAAAGCTAGTCTTACATCTAGAAATGAACAACTTGATCTGTAGCAAACAGCATGGCTTTAGATCAGGGCGCAGCTGCCTTACACAACTTCTCCACCATTTCGACGACGTTTTTGAGTCATTAACCAACAAAGCTGACTTTGATGCTATATATTATCTTGATTACGCTAAAGCGTAAAGCGTTTGACAAAGTTGATCACAAATTGTTGATCAGGAAACTTCACCTCTATGGCTTAAATCCAAAAATCATCAAATGGATTGAATCTTTTCTGTCAGACCGGAAGCAAGCTGTAGTGGTCGACGACCACTTGTCATTTCTCGCTCTGATCATTAGTGGTGTCCCTCAGGGAACAGTCCACGGGCCGATCTTGTTCCTTATTTTCATCAATGATATTGAGCATTGCATAACTGAAGCCATCATCAGATGCTTTGCAGACGACACTCGTGTTTCAATATCGGTAACCTCTGAACAAGACGTATCTGTCTTACAAAACGACTTGAAGAGTGTCATAAAATGGTCTGAACGAAACAATATGGCACTACATAAAGACAAGTTTGAGTACATGTGTCACAGACACAATCGACGTCGCGTAGTGCTCTCGTCGAACTTCCTTTTGTTAGTGAACTATACCAGTTGCAGTACTCAGTATCCAAAGACAAGTCACTCGCACCTGTAGGTCAACTAAGAGACCTCGGGGTTCTCGTCTCCAACGATCTATCTTGGCAACCCCACATTATGACCGCAGCAAACAAGGCTCGACAAAAAGCTGCCTGGGTTTTCAGTGTCTTTCAGACCAGATCTCCAGTCATAATGCTTACGCTTTACAAGTCGATCGTTCGTAGTCTAATGGAATACTGTTGCCCGCTATGGCACTCCTCCAAAATATGTGACATCCAGGAGCTTGAAAGCGTACAGAAAGCTTTCACCGCAAGAATTACTGGAATGCGTGATCTCCATTATTGGGACCGTCTTCAACGGCTATCTTTGATGTCTCTACAGCGTCGCAGGGAGCGGTTCATTTTACTTCATATGTGGAAGATTCTCCATCACCATACCAGCAACGACATTAACGTGCAGTTTGTCTCCAGGCCACGTTTTGGAAACCTTGCAGTCATTCAATCTGCATGTAGACACAGCTCAGCAGCAAATCAGTCACTGTGTGATAATTCATTTGCAGTCATAGGCCCAAAATTTTGTTCGGACGTTGAAGCCGCCCTAAGTCAGTAAGTCAAGTCAGGTCCAAAATTGTGGAATGCAATGCCTTACCATTTGAATTCCATCGGCGACCGAGAGCATTTCAAATCGCAGCTCACCCAGTTCATGCTATCTCTTCCGGATACACCGCCTATCAGGGGCTACACTCCTCAGAACTCAAACTCGCTGCTTTGCTGGAGGAATGACAGAGAGATCTCCTCTCTGTGGGGCGGTCACACAATGTGATGGCCCTGTTAAAGCTTAACGAATCTCAACATAGGTGACATAGGTAGGTAGAACAGCTGCTGTTATTTATTTACTAAATTAAAAAATATTCCTCCCCATCTGTACTTACTCCACGTGCAAATAATTACTCCACGTGCAAATAGTTAGCATGCTCTGTGCCAATTATCTGCTGGTTATTAGGCGTCTGTTTATTATACGCTTAGACTTCAGTCGACTAGAAACGAGGGAGTTATTATTTTTAGAGTAGTTTCGTGTGCAACTATATCAATGGCTGTACGACGTACGTGTGGTTATTCTAAATTGATCACCCAATCCTTAACGTATTATTTCGTTTATTTATTAGCGCAACATGACGTCTAACATCCATGTTTATATTTTGATAAAATAACACATCCTATTATTCTATCAACAAAACAGGTAATGGCTATCTTTGGAAAAGCTGAAGCGAAATACTATAATGTGACCCTTGATCTATATCAATATCCTGTCTTAAGAGAGGCCAACAACTGGGATGTGTTCCTGAACTACTTCTTCGCCATACTGTTCATCTTCTGCTTACTTATCGGAATTTTACTCAACCCCTTCATTATCGCCTACCACTCAAAACAAAAGAAAACATCTGCTACAATTATGTTGAACTGTTTGTGAGCTTGATTGATCAGCTCAAAAGTCTTTACTTACCTTTGGTTCTCATCCCAAAACTCCTTTCACCCCTGGATGAAGATGACTACTATTACATCTCGTCGCTCTTGGACTTCAGCTTCATCACATGGACTTCTCTTACAAATAAATTTTTACTTAACTTAAGCAAATTTGAAATGGATTTACTGGTCGTTCTTTGTGTTGCTAGATATATAAGCATAGTTTATCCTTTATCCTCTGCCAGAAAACGAAATATAGTTTTCTCGGTGGTCCTTGGGTTATCTTTCTTGATCTGGGTTTCATCAACCATAATAGATTGTTTTCAGAAACCCTTGGCTTACGCCAGAGTCGTCCAAACATTCTTTCCAAGGAATGAAACTTACATAAAAGAAATTCATTTACCGTTAATGTACACTAAAAGTGGCTTCGGTTGTCTGTTTATCTTTATCGGAGGATCTTTCAGTGTTCTTACTATTCGTCATTTGAAGAACTTTGACACCGCTTCATCTGAAGTCTCCAATAGGAACATTCGAAAAGGAATCTTGTTCATGATGGCGATGACGGTCTTAAATGATTTCGTTCTTATATCATCCGTAAGCTATAATGTTACGATAGGCTTATTGGAAAATGGTGGTTGGAAAAAGTCCTATACAGGCTTGGACTGTATTCAGTTCTCAAATGTATATGTAATCCCATTGATTCAATCTGCATTTAATTCCTTGTCATTTCTAATCATCTGCAGCGAATTTAGGGATTTTGTTAAGAAGCTGGTGCGTCAAAAAAGGGTAAAAATAGCAGAACAACCTACCACAGCACAAACTGGTCTCTAAATTACCTGCATACATCAGGCAAACTCTCGACCAATCGTTAAACTATAGGACAACACTAATTTCTTCCGGCCATTTGATCCAGATACCTCTCGGGATGATAATGGCAATCTTTTCGCCTGCTGCGATTTCCATCTGATGTAACTTTGCAGTCTACCTCTAATATTTGAAGATTTCAGATTATTTCTGATTGGTCACGAAGCTGCTATTTGAATGAAGTACCTAGAAGTAGAATGATAAACAAAAACTTATTGCTCTGAACGCTGATATATATTTATTATTATGAACAATTCAATTATTTATTATCTCGATTATCTCGATTATTTCGATTATTTATTATTATGAACAATTCAAGTATTATGATTTAGGAGAGTCATATATTCTGATATCACAATTACCTATCATGCTTAGTTTGTAAATTTTAGTGTGACTAATTGTGCTATATCTATCTATCTGTACTTTAATTTATCTAGTAAATACTGGAAATAATTTTATTTTTAACGTAAAGTTTACCATGCAAATGGTTTCTGTTTAAGCAGATCTTCAAGGGTTGCTGAAACCTTTGTAAATAAACTTTGGCATAGACATGCCTCCATATAGCCTAGTTATGCTTTAAATTTCGTCACCTCAACCCGCCTTATTTTGCAGCAAGAGTACAAAGTTGACATGGTTAACTCGGACCCAGACAGCGGAGTTACCCTTCTCAACAAGTTCTTATCTCAACTAGAGGAGAAGATAAGAGACTTCCTCCCTCTATCCCACACCAAGTAAGATAACCAACCTGTTTCTCTTTTTTCAAGGTCCACCGTCCACATTAAGGCTGTGTTTGATCACGGTTCTCGTTAAATTTTAGAAACATTTCGCATGTGATTAGATTCGTCTGATGAAAATTTACCATCTCATTCATCAAATCAACACTAGGTAGTAGGTACAGATAGATAAACTTGTATGTTTTTCTTAATTATTTATCTAATTTCCTGTTCAGGTTCCTATTTGAGGGGTTAGGCTACATCATGAGCAGCGTCATAATCAGCAACGCTAGTTACATCAAAGAGATAAATAACGGCGGTCTCAAGAAAATGTGAGTCCTGAATCCTAAATTATTTCATCGAATTCTTTGAAAACTTAGTGCCCATTTATGGGCATAGAGTAGGTTTGTGTTGGCATCCGGCATATAGTTACAAAAGTTATTATTACAAAGACACAGAATCTGTTTAACTAGGTCGACCTAAAAAGGACATGTGGCTTCGTAACGTACATGACAGTGTTTGATTTTTTCAGGTCTCGAAATATCCTGGCTTTACAACAAAACCTAACAAATATAACGCTTACACACGAACTCGAGCTGGAGCGAGCAAGGTTCTACTACGAACTCCTCTATCAGAAGCCTGAGGTAAAACAACTGCAGAATACAAACAACTCCACCGAAATTAATATTTTTTATAAACTGTAGTGTTAATCTTTGGGTGGTAAAGTTTTTGTGATTGCTTAACATAACATTGATCGCGACAAAAACAACAAACACTAATTTACCCATTCCTCCAGGAGATCCTACGAAATATAGTGGAACAACAGAAGCGTTTCACCAAGTCAGAGTACGTAGAGTTGATACAGCTGTACTACCGGAGTAACCGCAGCAGCAAGAACAACAACAAGCGATCTGAGAAGCAGCTCAACTTACATTTGGTGAAACTAAACGAGATCATGGAGAATGAGTCGGATAGTAGCAGTGAGGAGAAATCTAACGGGACTGATCTGTGAGAGTTCACAGGATGGAGACAGGACTGTTTGTTCCTGACAGTTGGAGACTTGTCGTTCATGTTGTGATCATGTACAGAATGCAGAATGTGGAAAGGGGACAGAAATATAGTTTATGACGTCATGTGATTTAGCTGGTGACGCATAACTCCGCTGGGAGTTGAAATTTGAGCCAAAGTATACATACATAGTTATCATAATTGGGCGTGTTCAGGTATGTTGTTGTTGAGCCGGATTATCTAGTCCTATAGGCGTTACTCACGGACTGCTCAGCGATTCCTGCTGCAGCACTGATAACCACAGCACTATCATGGGAAAGGAATGTTGTTACGATCAGGATTCATGATATGGTCAGTGTGCTCGTACCGACTACCATTAGTCCACTACGTAATCGTATAGACACCACAGAATAGTACAAGAATCCCTGCAGTTCTTACTTACTCATTACTGTAATACAGGTGTAACCTTGCTCTGATATCGGATAAGTGTTTGATATGATATCGTACAGTGAAATTTTGTATCGTTTGCTACGGGCTAACTTCAGTGCCGCACCGTTGTTATGGGATATCCGCATTGTATGGCATCCATTTTTAGTTCGGTACGTTTATTTTTAGTTCTGTTTTTGTAAATTAACTTTGATGATTTAGTAAATTGAGTAGGCGTCATTTTCGAAATCCTTTCTCGTTAAGCTTTTTTGGGTAACATCAGTTTATTGAAATGTGTACTAATTGATGTGAATACAAATCTGATATTGCTTTAATTAATGATCATTATATTTTCATTAAATGCGACACTTTTATTTCTTCTGAATATAGGTAACGCATCAGTGTTGACACTATATTTGGGCACAATGTTCCATGATCTTACTCAAGCACATTCTATATGATGAAACAGCTATATGTTTGTTAACAACTAAGGGTGAGCACTGTATGGTATCCCTTCTCGGCTTGCGGTCAACAGATAACTTTGCCCGACAATATGATATCATATTGCCAGTGGAAAATAAGCAAAAAAAAGCGTTATTTGATTGCCTAAAAAACTCATGTGCGAATTGACAATGGTGCGGTTGACGGTGTTGGGTACCACTAACCACGCACTGTCATTCACACAAACACAAAGCATGACCCCAGAAATCTCTCATAAATGAAACTGCTGGTGAGTACTGCTCGGGCAGTTTCCCGTTTATTTCCCATATCATTATTCTCAGAGCGGGCGATCTTTCCGAGCAGTAGTAGCCACCACAACCCAGCTGCCAATTCATTGAACTGCAAACTAGATGGCTGATCTGTTCTCGAGCGAGTTATACCTTGCAGTTACATAACATGAGATCTCAGAAATTTTACACGTTCCTTTGATTAAGTGAGAGAATTTATAGTTCAGACTGTCAGAATCTGCGTATTGGTGTCATAATATATAACTATCAAGTCATTTTATAAATATCATCGTTCAATAACTACTGATATTTGTAATTGTTCATGTTGACATGTTTAACATCATATCAAGATGATGAAGAGTTTGGGTTTGTTATATCGCGCGGTGTTGATACCGGACATACTGAGTATATAGGCGGTGATCAGTTTCCACTTTGTCTGGTTACTCTTTAGACACTCACACTAGCAGCTGCAGCTTTATAAAATATATAGTTATATATCATATAAATATATTATGTATTATATACTATATAGTGAACTTGTTTGTTGATCAATCCCGGTTTTGCGTAATACTAATAGTAATATTGAGTATTTACTGTCTGGTGAAATTAACAGTTTAGACAAATTAATAGTGGTATCTTGACGAAATATTGGGCGTTGATGATGAAAGATTCTGGTGAACTGAGAACTCTGTTAAAGTTAAATTGTTCTACGCATGGAAGTAAATGTAATTTACCCTACAGAATCGAGCTTGATTTAAAATAATAAGTATCGATCTCCACCTTATTAATACGATTAATTTTGCTCCTAAAATCAAAATTTGTTCGTGCTTGATTAATTTAATTTTGCTGAAATATATAACACTGTAATTTGTAATTTTGCTGATAGTTTTGCTGGTCATACTATATCACAGTGCTGGCAAGCACGACCGTTGCATTTATTGTGGGTATACTATGTACCCCATTTACTATTATACCCCCTTTACTATTATACCCCCTTTACTATTATACCCTCTTTGGTACACGTTACAAGCCTCTTTCGTGCACGCGAAGCGTGCACTCCGGCCGGAGGCGGCGGCCGAAGGCCGCCGCCTCCGGCAGGAGTTTTTCAGACATTAAGACTCATCGGAAGTCGTTCAGCAGATTTATTTTAGTTCAAAACATTCTAATTTGATGTCAAAGATGACAGGAATAAAAAATAGTTATGTTGAGATTTTTAAGAAATTTGCATAAAATACTCGCCAGCACTGTTATACGAAATTCGGTAAAAAACCCAAAATCGCCATATTCAGGTGCTTTAAAAACCATGTTAAAATTGAGTTCGAGATCTGAAATTTTTCAGGGCGTCTATACGTTGACCAAATCGACTGCAAAAAAAGTTTCAGGTTTCAGGAACATCGGGAAGTGGGTTTTCTAGAACCCCTGTTTTACGACAGATTGTCGTGATACATACATACATACATATACATATACATATATTCAGGGATAGACGCTTTGCCAGTCAATTGTAGCCTGTATTTAATTATCCATAGATTGAAAAGTATAAAAGATACAGCCATTTCCGACCACAGGTCTTGAAAATAATTGTTTACACTTTAGTTTACATTGTATAAACAAATTATTTGACGTCATGAACACCCTTTGATGACGTCATCAAGTTAACCGTTTTTAAAACTTGATTTTTGACAAAGTAATAACTTTTAAAAATGATTTTACACCATTAAAAAGTAATTGTATTCAAAATCTGAGGAAATTTTTACCTTAGATAATTGTTCAAGCATTCTGAAAATCTACCGGAAAGTTTTTCTAGCTTGCTCCTTCATAAAGATATTCGTCATTGAAGTTTGTGCTTTTTTGAAGAATTATTTTATAAAAACGTCAATTTTGCGATTTAGTATTCTCTGGTGTTGGGCCATGCCTTGAGTTGTGGAGCTCAGTTCTGCTTCCTATAGGTATAAATTGTGTATTAGGCTAGTTTTAAAGTTGAAAATCGAAAAGTTGCACACGTGGGGACACGCCCAAATTGATAGAAAATCGCTAAAATCACTGAAAATTGCTGTTTTCGTCATTTTCTGTCAACTTTAGAGTGCCGTTGTGATTACAGTTCTTCTTGAAATACTTTAAAACTTTGCATGCTTATCAAGCTATATATAAAACAATTACATGCAAAAATTTACGGCGATTCAAATTTGGATGCGCACGCAACGTCCGCTCAAAGTTTGCACGCGCGAAAGGTGAGAATTTTGCTCATTCGTGATTTCCAACAAATTCTGCTTTGCCACGACAGTTTAATGTCATTATATATGAATTTAATGCCAACTTGAATGAGTATTAAGTGGCATATTCAGTCAGTGATCGACCGATATGCTTACCTAAACACAAGGAAATGTTTTTTAAGGAAAAATTTCGAAATCGTTGAAACTTCCTCCTTATTAATGAAGATATCAGTTTATATTTCGACTTTATAAAGTACCCTGACATTATAATCAAAAATAGATGATATTTTACCAAAACCCATAATCATGGGTAGAGTGGACCGCTGCCAGTGTCTCTCTTTCCCAAACAAAAGGAAATGATATTAATTTGATTGACCGTTCTCAAATGCAAAATGATACCGAGAATGAAATCGGTCGCTCGCTTTTCCCATTCATTTACAATTGTAATAGACTAAGAAAAACTACCCAAAGGCAGCTGTACTCGGCAATAAAGATTCAATAAACTTCAGCAGTAGTAACTACCACCCTTACCCCGAAATACTAGGTATCGACCCGAACGCAACCCAAAGAGATTTTTACAGCATCTGATTGATGTAATCAATCGAAACTTATTACAATTCGAAAGCCGTGAATGAATGGGAAAAGCGAGCGACCGATTTCATTCTCGGTATCATTTTGCATTTGAGAACGGTCAATCAAATTAATATCATTTCCTTTTGTTTGGGAAAGAGAGACACTGGCAGCGGTCCACTCTACCCATGATTATGGGTTTTGGTAAAATAAGTCATACTAAATACTAGCTGCAGTGCAGTTAATGTTATTGGTGGCTCATAGTTTTCGTATTCAACCTTTACTTTGATATTTAAAAGATCAAAGATGTGAAATTATATGGGGTAGGAGTTACTTACGTAGCTACTAGTTGCTATAGAGATCACAAAAAGTGCTGGCAAGCATGACCGTTGCTCTTATACCTCCCATACTATTATACAGTGGGTGCCATATCTTTTCGTCATTTCTGATAATGGCAATACAAACAGTGTTAAACCAAAAATTTTCATTGAACCATAACTCCGTTTCCGGACCACCGATTTACAAAATTCAAAAATGGGTGTTTAGAAATAATTCTGAACTTTTCTCAGACGTTAGAAACTATGGTCATTCATGCTTCTGAAGAGACTGACAGGCCCACAAATAAGCGGTTTGATCACGATAATGATTTGTATCACGTCGTGACCCCACTGTCGTTTCACTATAAGTATACTTATTACTTATAGTGTAGAGTTTCAACGATACAGGGGGCGGGTCATACAACGTATGACAAGATAATGATAATGTTTATGAAGGAGCACATGTTTTAATAGCAAGTGACGAATTGTACCCCCTTTACTGTATTTCAGGCATTAAGGCTCATTGAAAGTCGTTCAGCAGGTTTATTTTTAGTTCAAAACATTCTAATTTAATGTCAAAGATGACAAGAATAAGAAATAGTTAGGTATGTGGAGGTTTTTAAGAAATTTGCGCAAAATACTCGCCATAGCAGTAGCACGTATACTGATATACGAAATTCGGGTAAAACCCCAAAATCGCCATATTCAGGTGCCTTAAAAACCACGTTAAAATTGTGTTAGAGATCTGAAATTTTGTTTCAGGAGTATCGGGAAGTGGGTTTTCTGGAACCCCTGTTTTACAACAGATTGTCGTGAAGTATTATATCACAGTGCTGGCAAGCATGACCGTGGCTTTTATACATTCTGGTCAAATATACTATAACTTTTTTATAATAAGTTTATAGTAACAGTTCTAGGAAAATTTTGTTCCCCTAATCTCAATAACCTATATGTATAGTGTGCAGAAACTCTGTTCGGTATTTGGAATAATTTGTAACGCGTCGTCACGTTCTTCAAACCTTCAAGTAAATTTGAAAGTGAGTTTTGTATCTAATTTGCTATGAAAATTTTTGTTCCAGTAATTACTAATCAGACTAATCACCCATGGGAATATTTAAAAGCTTTAGAGAATATAAACAAGCTTTCATGCATTGAATCTGTCATAAATATTAAGTATTATTGGCAAATACTTGATCAATTTCCGATCTGACCCGCTTCTCTAATCCATTTAAATATCGATAAAATGCAGTTTGGATAGACACTTAGGGCGTGTTCGATTGTACATAGTAACTGGAGCAGAAGATCCGGAAACAGCTACATAGTTTCCATAGTTTAGCAATACTGCGCGTCTTTCTACCGTATTCGGATTCCGTTCTTTATAGAAACATGTCAACGCCCCGCAATAAAATGGGAGAAGGAAGGAAATACTGCCATGTTTACGACATGATATGAACTATTGCTATGAAGCCCTCCCCGTAAAACAAGCAGTACCTCCCTGTCCTGCTCAATTATCTGTGCCTACCCTCACCCTGA